CTTAAAGCCACCATTACGGAGTAGGAGTTCAGGGGTTCCTCTCCTGACACTAGCAGGTTGATGAATTTGAGGGGCCAGGAAGCTGCCAGTACGCCGGAGGTGGAGACCTTCTGTCCAATGGGTTGCTTCTGGAGTGTGCAGACCTTCTCATAACGCTTCTTGGGGTTGCTTCAGGGAGCACAGTGCTCAGACTCCAAGCCCTGATCCTTGAAGGAAACTGTGCATGGCCAAGTCCTACCACATCTCATTCCCATCTGTCATGGGAGTCCAAACTTCCACCACCAACAGTGAAGAAAAGGGTGATGCCAGGGTTTGGGCCATACTCTTTGATGTCCCCCACCCACTGCCCCAGAACAGATCTCTATCCCTGCTATGCACAACCTGAAATCCAGCGAGCCTTTGAATTCTGCATGTATCGCAACATTGCAATGGAGTTGTCCAGTCAACAAAGTGTGAAAAATGCAAATACCCTGATGGAGTGCGCAGAAAAATTCATGTATTGGTAACAATAAAATTAAAATGCATACAGTCAGGGGAAACTGTCTGCCGGAAAGGTGTGGATTAGGAGGAATGTCCACATAAGGCAGTCTAATGCCACTCTGAACACCTCTGCCTCGAATACATGCGGAAATGGCGCAAGCCAAACCTAAGGATGGGAAAAAATGAGCTACTGAGTGAAAGTGGCAGCTACAGGTTCATCCATCTCTCAGAATTCCAAGAGGTGTCTGTCTATGTCAATAGCTCCAAAGATGAGAGGGAGCCATCTTCCACCTTGACCCATGTGAGTTAGGTCCACCATTTCTTGGCCATGGCAACATAAGCATGACTCTGCGGGTAGAAAGACTGGAATCTGTGCACACTGCCTGGCGTGGTAGCCATAGGGAGCATGCATGGCCAGATTCAAGATGGCGGTGCTCATGTCTGGTCTCGCGATACTCAGAAGATCCTAGATTCATAGAGTCACAGAAAAGTAAGACGGAAGGGACCAAGAAGGCCATCAGGTTGCAGGGCACCAGTTGACACCATCCCACTCAAATGGCTGTCCAGTTTCTTTTTGAATGCCTCTAATGTGGGAGAGCCCACCACATCTCCAGGCAACTAGTTCCACTTTTGTTTTGCTCTGACAGTGAGGAAGTTTTTTCTGATATCTAGTTTGAATCTGGCTGTTGCACTTTGAACTGAATTATTGAAGTGAATTATTCCGTGTTCTGCACTCTGCTATCAGCAAGGAGAGATCTTGACCTCCTTCTTCCTGTGACAGCGTTTCAGGTACTTATAAGGTGATACCACGTCCCCCATCAGTCTTCCTTTCTCAAGGCCCAACATGCCCAGTTCTCTCAGTCTCTCCTCGCAGGGCAGTGTTTCCAAACCATGGATCAGTTTTGTTGCCTTCCTCTGGACCCTTTCTAATTTTTCTGCTTCCTTCTTAAATCTTGGTGCCCAGAACTGGATGGTTTTGAGCAGTTCCCTTTCAGTCCGATCATAGACTATTCTAGCTGATAGGGTGAACTTAAACCTTTTAGCCAAAGCCCTAATACAGCTGAAATACTGAATAACGTGGAAGAGCCTTGAATGAAAGATCTTGGCCAATTCACTCATTTGGTTAGAGCAGTGTTGAAATTATGAAGGAGAAAGCAGGAAACTCCTTAATAAGAGCCACAAAATATTAGGAAAACAGCCCACCTCTGCCCCCAGTCACTGGCTCAGGGGTCCTAATCTCTCATCTCCCAAAGACAAAGGAAAGCAAGTTGGAGACAGACTAGAAGCTGCTGCTGGATTGCATAAACGGTGCAGCAGTGGCACCTGCAGGCCAAACCAGTAAGCACAGCAATATTTCAGAAAGATATTAAGGTAGCAACTCTCACGGACTAGAGGTCAGAAATCCCAGGGATTCAACAGTCCCATGAAACTGATCTGCTAATATGAGACCTTGGCAGCTTCCATGAAAAAAATGTATTGCTTTACTCTTGTGCACTTACTATTCTTGTCCCACTCCCGTTTTGCTAGTTCCTTCCAACTCAGAGAAAAAAGAGCCATGAGAGGGGAAAATGAGTTTGCTTAGGATGCAGCAGAAACGTAACCCGCAAGCAAAGCCTTAAATCTGCCCTCAGGGAAAATATTTCCTACACATAGAAAACAAAGATGGATGTAACTGCAGGACGTTGGACCCGATGGCCTTCAAGGCCCCTTCCAGCTCTACTGCTCTGTGATTCTATGAAACATATTAGGCAAAAGAGCAGGCTAGAAAACAGGTCGTGACGTGCAGCCTTTTGCGTTGTGAGGAATATTACGCGCGGAGAATGGTTCCAGTCAAGCAAGCCAGACCTCCTTGTACTGTCTAATGTGGTACAGTCCAGACACAGGTTTGCCACATGCCTGCACACAGGGTCTCATTCTTAGTTTGTCTTGAGGCAGGGTGTGCGGCTGTACCGCTATAAGGGAAATCATTTTATACTTCATGCCTGCTGGCAACTTGTCCTCCTCTTCCTCTTCTGCCTCCTGGCCTCCAGTACCGTCTTTATTTGGGTTCAAACGAGCCTTATTTATTTATTTATTAGATTTATGTCCCGCTTTTTTCTTACATTGAACACAAAGCAGCGTACATGATTCTCCTCCTCCTGCCCTCGGTCTTATCCCACAACAACAACCCTGTGAGGTAGGTAGGGCTGAAGGTCTGTGACTGGCCCAATGTCGCCCAGCTGGCTCCCATGGCTGAGCGGGGACTCGAACCCAGACCCTCTGCGTCCCAGCCTGGCACTCTTCACCACCACACCGCATTGACTTGCAGTATTGTGATTTGGAGCTTGGTCTTATATTTAAGTTCTCGGGGAAGTAATTTGAGTCTTTCGCTTAGTTCCACCAGTTTGCCTTTTGGGGAATGAATGTGTTGCGACCATCCATGGCCCCCACGAGAGCAATATTTTCCCAGGGGCAGCCATCTTGTGAAACCATGACTTCCTCACAATTCCAAATGTGTCCACCAACCCAAGAAGTCTGGGGCTCGAGTTATTGACACAGACTGGCAGCACCTTTCTAGGGTTTTAGGCCCGGTTTTAGGTTTTTCCAGTCCTACCTGATATTAAACCTGGGGCTTTCTGCATGCATTCAAAATGCTTTAATACTGGTTATGGGAAATCGTGGCAAACTTTATACCATGCTCAGCAGTTCAGATTCAGAGGCCTTAGGTTTCTCATGCTGTGGATTTATGGCTGAATAATTACATGTTTCCTAATAAGGGCTGAGCTATTTTCTGATCCGGATGCATGTGTTACAAACCAACTCATATTTACATGCGGTTAGTCTGAACTGATTAGGTTTTGGGACTCACATAGCAGGTTCCTACCACCCTTTCACTTTGAGACTGTGCTAACAGGATCCTGTTCTGTGGGTAACTTTCTTACCAGATTGTGATAATATACAAAAGATTTGGATTATGGTATTTAAGGAAATTAGAGAAATTTTAGATATAGACTTAGAAATGTCTCTGAGAATTGTATTCTTACTGATTGAAAAACAAGATATAAATGAAGCTAAGAAAGAATTGATTGTAAGTTTGATAATGGCAGTTAGGCTAGTGATAGTTAAATATTGGAAACAGAATTGGGTTTTGCAAAGGCATGAATGGTATAATGAAATTTGGAATATGGTAAACGGAGCAAAGCTCAGGGAGCCAACGTTTCGTTTGGATGCCAGGAAGCACTTCCTGACAGTCGGGACCCCGAGGGTGTGGAATGGGCTTCCACGGGAGGTCGTTGAGGCCCCATTGGTGCGGGTGTTCAAGGATAGGTTGGACGTGCACATGGTGGGCATGTTGTGAGTGGAGCCGGCTGGAGCCGGGGGGTCAGACTAGATGGCCCGGGAGTCCCCTTCTGACTCGCTCTGTTTTCTATGTTTCTAATTAATGCTAAACTGACAACAGAAATAAAAATTAAAAAAGGTTAATGAAAGCAAATAAATATAACGAAATTTGGGAAGATTTTGTAACAGCAGTACTGCTAGAAGGCAAAGGCTGTAAACCTAATTAAGATTATATGAATTTCTGGAGGGGATATGGATATAATTGAAGTACATTATATATTATTAATTGTTATAATATGTGAATTAAGTGATGGTAGTATTGGTGTCCGAGCGGGTGGGGGCACTTTATCATTCACCTTTTTAAATATTGTGTTTTTGCTATGCTATATTATCATTGTAGTGATGTGTTGTATTCATGGTTTTTTCCTGTTAAAAAAAATAAATAAAAAAACCAGGGAGGAAACTCTCTTACCTGCTTTACACAGTGATTGGGAAACTTCCCAGACCTGCGGTTCTCTTTCCTGTAAAGTGCCTGTATCCTTGCTCCATGTTTTATTCCCTCTTAGGGACAAGCAAATCTATCTATTTCCAGTCCTTGTACCTTTCCATCCATTTGCCCATAAACCTGTTCCATCCCATTTCCTCATTGGTCTGTTCCTGTTTTGAATCTATATGCAAATTTGCATCTAATGTGCACAATTTAAAATATTCTTTCTCTCAACGTAGGCACTTTGAAACACAATTTGATTTTTTTCTTTTTGAGCCAGGAATGGCATTGGTTCAGACAGTCATGAAGAAAGACAGCTGGTGAAGAAATAAGGTCCCCACCAGATCAGGATTCTGGGCCCTGAACATCCCAGAATTCATAAATACTGAAATTCTTCAAATAGCCTCATTTCCTCTTGAAGTTCGGTTGGGGTTTTTTTGGAACAGGGCCTTTTCAGTGGTGGTGTCTTACATGCACATGGCCCAACCCTTCTTATGTAGCCTCACCCCCTTTGCCTTTGGCCCTTCCCCTTCTGTCTTCAGGCACATCTCAGCCAGTAGAATCTGACCCCTGAAAAGCCTCAATTGAGAAACTGTGTCTATCAGAACTGATACCAAGCCTATTTTAGAAACAACACTATGGACCCAGCTCCTGGAATCATGGGAGAAGTCCATGAATTGTATCTACCAGTATCTTCACAGGGCTCACTGCTGACCCATGCAGAAACTCACCCTTTATTTTTACTTTTCCTGTCTGGTCCCGCATTCTCAGCGGGACCAGGGTGTTGGAAATGAGCTACATTTTCAGTTTTTCACAATGTTCTCTGCCTACATGAACCTACTGAGGTGAAACAATTTAAAGCATATGCTGTTGAAATCATGTGCATTCTTTCCGCAGCGATGGAAATGTAGGTTTTATTAAGGATTCAATAGGCACAAGGCGTTGAGCTGGTCAGCTTGGATGGCTCAGGAAAACCTTGGGTTTGTGCGGAGCGGAAGGTCTTCTAAGGCGCCTGCAAATATGGCAAAGAGCACCCCTTGTAGTGATGTAGGACAGAGACACCCGGCTTCGCAAAGAACAAACAAAATGGGATATACTTGCATAGAGCAGCACATGAAAAATAGAGTCCCCCTTATCCCGTCTCAAGAACATATGCAAGTTTGAGAAATGCACACAAACAACTGTGACTCTGAAGGCTGAATCCATTTGTGCAAGCGTGACTGGTGAGGCCAGCTTGCATACTCTCTGTCCAGCTCCCACGCACTCCCAGTGCAAGCAGAGTCCTGCTTCTGCACATGCAACTTGCAGGCATGGCACGCTTTGTGCAAGAATTCAGCAAAGAAGGCGCCTGCCAGTGATCCTGAGCATGCACACACTTGATCTCAGCTTGCTTCCAAGGCTGGGGCTGAGCACAAGGAAGAAATCTGGCGAGCACAAGAGAGCTGAATTCCAGGCAGAATTTCCCTTCTTTGGTCTGGCTTATCAAGGATTTGCTTCTTCCTTAACCAGAGGAAATGTAGCTCAGATTATCTCCTCTTCTACAAGGATGATGCTAGCGCAACATCCAGAAGATGGACAGGTAAGACATATGATTCTATTCCAAAGAGATAACACCGAACAAACAGACCATGAATTAGCACTGGCTTCTGTCAAAATCAGGTTGAGGAGTGCCATGTATGCTACAGAGCATGGAGTCAATGCCTTTTTCTGTCCAGAATTGGACAGACAATTTCTTCCTGAGTTGTTCCATTTCTGTGCATGTGGCCCAAGCTGTGTTTTCAGGGTTTTGTGCAGAATCTTAAGGACTAGAAACCTACTATTTGTTTTTATTTCTTTCTTCTTAATCCCAGCCACTTAAAATGCCGTTTTGATGATACAGATTTCTAAGCAGCTTTCATGCATGCATGGATGAAACAGCATCCTGTGCAGAATGTACTGACAGTCCCCCCCACCCCAGACAGCTTCCATGGCACTGCCCCAGATATCTGCAAATTAGTTATGGGCATTTGCAGAGCAAGGAACAGTAGTATGAGTAGACCTCTGAGCATTCAGCTTCGGCTGATCCATCAGCTGCGCCCCTCCCTGGACTACGACTGCCTGGCGACAGTGACACACGCGTTGGTGACTTCCTGACTTGACTTCTGTAACGCGCTCTACGTGGGGCTGCCCTTGAAGACGGTCCGGATACTTCAATTGGTTCAAAATAGAGTTGCCAGGTTGCTGATGGGGACTGGGTGTTATGTTCACATGACTCCAGTCCTCCGTCAGCTTCACTGGCTCCCCACTGAAGTCCGGGCCCAGTTCAAGGTGTTGGTGATGACCTATAAAGCCCTAAACGGCTTGGGTCCTGGTTACCTGAAGGAGCGCTTATGTCCATATACGTCCGCCCACCCCTTGAGATCTGCAGGAGAGGCCCTTCTCTGGGAACCCTCCGTGAAAGAAATTAGGAGGGTAAGTACTCGGAGGAGGGCTTTCTCTGCGGTGGCGCCCAATCTATGGAATGCGCTCCCCAGAGAGGTCCGCCTGGCACCGTCGTTATTTGTTTTTCGGCACCAGGCGAAGACCTTTTTATTTAAATGTCATTTTCACTGTTAATAGTATTTATTTATTTTATTCTTTGGCCAGGGTGACTTATTTTATACTGTTAATTTATATTATTTTAATTGAAGTTATTTATGTTTGTGAGCCGCCCCGAGGCTTCGGTGAATGGGGCGGCATAGAAATTTTCTAAATAAATAAATATAGGACTTTGGGGCCATTTGGATCCCTGATCTGTAGGATCCCAGGGTTCCAGACAAGGAGAGCATCTTTCCTCCAAAAGTTGCATTTGAGAAATGGGGCTTTACCTTCATGCCGCAATATGATGGAGGCGCATTCAGATGGCAGCAAATGGATGCGAAATTGGCCCTCTGCTCCACCTGTGCAGAAACAGCATCTTCTGTAGCAGTGGGAAACTTCTTCAGATAGCTCTCTCGTAGCCTGCGGTATAGTTAAACACAGCCATGTTGCTCATACAAGCAGACCTCAAAGCAAGAAACTCACACCCCTCCCTGAGCGCACAGGAGCAAGGAGGCAGGTGCCAGAGGGCATCAGTTGGTCTGGCCAAACTTCATTCCATCCACATAACCAGAATGCCATAAAACATTCTCGATGCCAGAGGATTTGTCCAACCCACCAAGGTAAAGGATGTGGACCAAAGGCCAAGGGAAAGCGCGACACAGTAATAAGCGAGGGGAGTATGATATCACCGACTGCAAACCATATTTGCTGGTGCAGAAGTTTAGCTAAGACCTTAAATTGCTGTGTGCATGTGGCTTTTGTTCAACCTTTAGTTTCAGAGAATGCTAGTAGTTGTAGGAGTTCTTTCTGTCTAACTCTGTGGAGAGCTGCACCTTCAACCGCCTAACCAATTCCCTGATTGAGGCCACAGTTCCACACGCACTGCATACAGGGAAGTGAGCCCCACTCAGAACAAAGGGAATGTGCACTGGATTGTACCATAAACGTGCCTGTGATTGGCAGTACAGCTTAATGTGCAGCTCATACCCCCTCCGGCCAAGAGGACGGCATGCTTCCTGGAGTGCACAAGGACAGCAGAGAGAAGGTGGCCTCTGCTGCTCTCCCTCCCTGCAGCCCCAGGGCACGAGGGCTGGATGCTGAGGAGTCACCAGCATGCCTTGGGTGCCCATCTTCTCCCCTCCCAGCCTCAAACGCCTGTCTCTGAGGTCGTCACGCAACTTTGGAGGCACAGCCGGTGTGGTCCTTCCTGCACCGGCGGTGAGGGTGGAGCGAGGGCACCCTGAATTCATAGTCTTCCACTCCAATTTTGGAGCACATTTCCAAGGTTGGAGCTGGGACTTAGGGAAATCTTGTGGCCACCTAGATGCTGTCTAGCAGCCATAGGATTGTGCCCTAAAAGGAAATGAGAATTGGGAAGGGAATGAGATGCATAACTGCATTTTCATTCAAGGAACACACGTCAGGGTGGGGCAGCCTTGGAAGGGGCACACTGCCCAGTGCAAGAAAGACGTGTGAATGGCACTTTTGAGGTGGTGCTTGCTGCCCGCAGCTCACACCCTTGATCCATCGGGGATGTGCTCTTGCTGAAATGTCCTTCTATTCCTAGTGTGCATTCACAGTGAGTGATGCTTCTTTTTGCTCCAGTCAAATGCAAAACTGTTCTGCAAAATTGAAGCCAAGAGACGGGCATCTCACTTAAGGCTCATGGCTAAGCTCTGAACAGGGTGCAAACAGCTCACAATTTTAGCTATAGCAACAATCTAGTTCCCCCATCAATGCAATCAGGTTAATAACAAGGCAATATTCTTTATTGTAGGGACCAGATGAAATATGTCTAAGATCTCTATCATAAGAAACATGGTCACCACTTTTCTGGAACTTCACACCCACCTGTTCTTAAATTCTTGGAAACTGTGATCTGTGTAATCATTGCACAGCTCAGCTCCTTTGGAAAGCATTTCTAATATATCGGCTGTTGCCTCTGGATTCTGGAGAGGGGAAAGAAAGGCAGAAAAGTGCTTCAGGGAAGGAACTTCATGTGTCAAAAAGTAAAATAAAGATCTCATTGAAGGCTTCTTGGTATGATAGGCCTCACTGCAGTCTCTAACAGAAGCCGTGGGATACCACATTTTTTTTTGGGGTGGGATTAAAGGGGCCACTACCAACTATCCCCACACACAGAAAATTAGCATGCAGGGAAAGGTGGGCTAGCTTTCTATATGCAGGGAGGATATAAAAAAACCTGGGTGCATTTAGTCATGTGATCAGCCACTAGACATGCACATGGTGTTCAAGGACAGGCTGGACGTCCACATGGTGGGCATGTCGTGAGCAGAGCCGGCTGGTGCCGGGGGTCAGACTAGATGGCCCGGGAGACCCCTTCTGACTTGCTCCATTTCTATGTTTCTACATTTCTAAGTTGTGCAGTATAGGAATGCATTATAGGAACACTTACATAGAAAGGTGCCTCATACCCAGTCAGACCATGGTTTATTTGTTTATTATATGAGGTGTGTCCATAAAGTAATGAGAATAATATTTTAAAAATTCTTCTATTCCAAAACTTTACAGTTGAACACTATCTCCTTCAAAGTATGCACCTTGTGAGTGTACACAATGATTCCAGTGATTTTTCCATTCTTCACCATTTCTGATGCACTTTTACCCAGTTTCACACAACTTTATGGCGTACCGCTGTTCCGAACGCACTTGCATTTCTCTTAATGCGAGGCACTTGAACAGGGTGTCACAAAGAATGTCTTGACTCTGACAAGGCTGGAATGCGACTGATCAATGTTCTCATGTGCATCTGGCACCCCACTCCAAGCGACCTTGGCCAGCTTCTCCCTTCACAGAGCCCTTCTTGAGCACAGGGACTTCATTCTCATGATTTTCTGGACACACCTCGTATCTCTATCCCATCTTTTTACCATCGTGGAACTCAAGGTGGCCACATGTGGTTCCCAGGTGGTCTCTCCTCCAAGCCCTGGCCAGTTCTAGACCTGCTTAGCTTCATCATGGCAGATGCCTGACATTCCTTCAGGCCATACTCTGGGATTATCACAGCTGTATCAGTGCTCTTCCTTTCCCCACCCCGTATGGTCCTCAGCTTTGACAGCTTCATGGCAGGGAGGAAGAAGAATAGCTCTATTTATCGAGTTTGGCCAGTGCAGGTGGGCAAATATATTGTTTCCTTCTGTGTTGATAACCACTTGCCAAAATTGCATTGTATTTTATTTTTTCACAAACAGGACAGAAAACTCTTCAGATTTGAAAAATATGAATGCAGAAGACATCTGTCTGTCCCTAGCTATGAGATGGACTGTGCATGTGTCAATAGGTCCCTGTGGACGTGATTGTGCTTTACCTTCGCATCAAAACAAGCACGGACATCTTCGGCCTGGCAACACATGTCCGCTACCTTTTGGACAGCATCATTCATGAGAGTGAGGATGCCCTCTGGAGCACGTGTAAATGTGCGAGCAAAGTGAAAGATCATGCTGTAAGAGAAAGAAAGGAAGGAAGGAGGCCCAGAACATTTTGGAGGAGGCACTGGGCACCTGGGACTTCAAGTCTTCCCTTTTATACCTGATCCTATGCAACAGTGTCTTGATTTTCAGGATATCATTTGTTATTATTTTCAGGATATCATTTGGAGGACATGGGCGAACTTCATAGCAAAATACAGAGGCAGATATTTGGGATATGTGAGAATTTCATGTCTGCTTGCAATTCCATCACAAATACAATTTGGGTTCGAATCCTGGATTTGAACAGGAATGTGTTTCATCTGAAAAGGTCAGCAAGTTCTTGAACTAGTGCTCACGTTTCCAAAATGTGTGCTTGAAAAATGTTCCACTTTCTTGAAACAAGCAACTTCAAACCACCTGTTCTTTATCAGGGACTTTTGTGCAGAACAAACTAATTCAAAGAGGAATTGAAGAGAGATAAGTGCTAAGCTGATCTTTGGAAAATTGTGGCAATCTCGGAAGCTGGATTAGTTAAACCACCAAGTTCTATTTACAGTATGGGAGACAAATAAGAAAGTTTCCTCACACTTTCCATCTGTGCTTACAGTAAAAGCAGAATTAAAATCAACCCTACATGCAAACTTGTCTTTACAAATACCACTATGACCTCTTTTTTCTTTTTCTACACATGCATAGGGCTCCATCCATCCATCCATCCATCCAATTTCTGTGCCACCTTTTCCTTACAAGGCGGTTCTTCCTCCTCTCCTTAATATTATCCTCACAACAACCCTGTGAGGTAGATTAGGCTGAAAGTCAGTGATTGGTCCAAAGTCACCCAGTGAGATTCATAGCTAATGGAAGACTAGAAACATAGAAACAGAGTGAGTCAGAAGGGGTCTCCCGGGCCATCTCGTCTGACCCCTGGCTCTTTCAGACTACAACTCAGACCTGCTGCATTCCAGTCCTGCAGTTAAATTGAACCCGGCAGTAGTTGCACTATTTGCAGGCAAGAGATGTGGCTACTGATGCAAAAGCTGAGAGCGTGGCAGGCATGAACTGCTTCCACAAGCCAGGGCGGTGTAGTGGCTAAGGGTGCAGGGCGGGGACTCAGGAGATCCAGGTTCCAGTCCCCGCTTGGCCATGGAACTCACTGGGTGACTCTGGGCCAGTCTCACTCTCTCAGGGTAACCTACCTCACAGGGTTGTTGTTGCGAGGAGAAGACTCAGTGGAGGAGGAGAATTATATAATCCATCTTGCGTTCCTTGAAATGGAAAAAGGCAGGATTTGAATGTGCTAAATAAATGAATGGCAAGTGCATTATGAATCTACTTACCGATCGAATTCCTGCTGTTGCCCTTTACCACAGATGGCTTCGTGATTTGTTGGTGTTAAATCCAGACTTTTGGGGAGCTTGTCCCAGGGGAGGGAGTCGATGCACTGATAGATTGTGCAGTTGCCGTGCTGGCTGCAGCAGTCAGCAACCCTTTGGTCGTGAGCGGAGAGTTTACTGCAGAGTTTGAGGGTGAACGCGAACAACTGGAGATAAAAAAGAAATCAAGAAAAGGGTAAACAACGAGTTTGCAACCAAACTGACCCGAACATGACGGTAAGTGGGGCAGAGGCAACCGCGTCCTATGTGCGTACTGCAGCAGGGACTGCTAGGATAAAGCCGCAGAGTTTTCTACCTTGGCTCCTTGCGCTAACAGTCTGCAAACCAAATCGATTTCCTGGAAAACCTGCTTGGCTTCCCCCTCCTGTCATGTTTCTCCACCTCACCATCGCCTCCCAGTGGAGTCTCCTCCCAGGAGATTCAATGCCTGGTGAAGAATGACTTTCGAACCTCGCAGGGGAAAGCCAGGACATGGGGCGAGGCTGCTGGTGCCACGCCTGTTTCATGTTTCTTTCGCAGGAGGCATGGTAGATCCACTATACGCCACTGGGTATTGTGTCCCTTGAGCCCTCCGGGTGGGGTGGGAAACTTGTCATCCCCGCCCCCCGGATGTTCTGGGCTATGCCTCCCATAATCCCTGAAAATGGTCCATGATGGCTGGGGCTTATGGGAAGCATCTAGGAAGCACCAGGTGGAGCCATCTTTTAGTTTTGCTTACTTGCTTGGACTTTTTAGAGTGGTGGTGAGCAAGAGGTGGCTGAAAGGCTGCAATGGGCCCAACCTGGCCCTGTTTTGTGTGGCAGCAAAGCAGGGCCTTTGCCGTGGTCTGGTGGGAAGGCTTGCTGAGAAAACCTGTCGGTGTGTCAGCAGCAAAACAAATCAGCATGCTGGAAATGGTGGCTGTTGATGGGAGTTGGTAGCCCAACACATCTGCGGGGTCGGGGGAAGCTGTGACAGAGAGTGAAAGAAAAGTTCTAAAGGGGATGTGCTGTTTGGTACCCCTAGTTGCAAAAAGGTGTACCAAGCATTGAGTGTGGGGTTGGGAAAGTATCTTCTGAAGCAGCATAGCCAACCCTCACTGGAATGGAAGAACAAGTGAGCACCCACAAATATTTCTATTTGCATTCCTCTTGGACTTCTTGGACGAAGGCTACAACACCATGAAGACTAACTTGAAAGTAAGTCCCACTGAAACAAGGAGACTTATCTCCAGGGACATGCAGTTTGCTTTGTGGCCTGGTCAACAGATTCACATGCAGCAGCTCTGACACAATTGCGCCATGTTGGAAAACTGGGGGAAGTTGCCTGTTTTAGGCCCACATGTAGGAACATGATTCCCTATCTAGAACACTGGCATCTCAAGGAGGAAACTAGGCTAAATCAGTTACCCCTAATATAACGGCGCATCTGGAAGTGGCACAGTCCAACATGAGGTGGTACAGTCCAGTAAATCCTGCACATGGTGGATTTTCAGTCCAAGAGGGCTGTGCCTTCACTGCTAGGTGCATACTTCTCAGGTGTTTTCGGTAGAGCTATGGCGACCATTGAATGTGAACATGCTGATGTTGCTGAACACCCACCTCAGACTGGATGCAATCTCCTTCCAATGAATCACAGCACTTGGAGAGCAAATTGGAAGCATCTTCAGCTAAATATAAGACATCCTCTAATAAAGCATTTGGACTTCTCTGGGTAAGTGTTATGAGGTAGCTAGACGTGGGCACACAAAATAAGGGAGAGTTTAGATCAGTTTAGCTACTCCACAGCAGACGGCTTGATTCTTCTTAGCATCTTTAAAATCAATCAGTTGATCACCAGCACCATCATCATGTTCATACTGTAGCAGCAAAATCGTATATGCCACAGATGTAGCCATGATATATGCCCTCCCGCCCCTTGAGATCAGCAACAGATGCCCTTCTCCGGGAACCCTCCGTGAAGGATATTAGGAGGGTGAGTACCCGGAGGAGGGCTTTCTCTGCGGTGGCACCCAATCTATGGAATGTGCTCCCCAGAGAGGCCCGCCTGGCGCCGTCGCTATTTGTTTTTCGGCACCAGGCTAAGACCTTTTTATTTAAAACTTATTTTAATTGTTAATTTATTGGTTATTTATAGGATTTTAAATCTTTTAAGCCGAGATGCACCAGGTTTTAATATTTTTATTGTATAATTTGTTATAGTTGTATATTTTGTTCTTGTTGTGAGCCGCCCCGAGGCTTTGTTGTGATGGGGGCGGCATAAAAATGTTTTAAATAAATAAATGATCTCCTCCCAATACTTGTTTGCAACATACATGTTGTCATGCCCCTGATTCCAGCAGTGGCCTGGGACATCCGTGTCGGTGAGGTGGGTGGACCCAGCAGCTCGTGGGTACTCTGTGCATGGCCAGGAGATTCAGTCCACAGCGAAGCTGGGTGCAGGTCCCTCGGTTGACACTGAAGCATGATCCAGTAGGCAGGGCCCCATTTTCAGCATTTCTGACCTCCCATGCTTCAGTCTCCCAAGTCTAAATCTCTCCAGGGAATATTATATGATCAGAACTTCATGACAAGTCTTGCCCAAGATGCAGTTGACCCATCTGAATTGGTGATAGCTCCACTCCTAGAGTGGGAGCAAGGTCCAGGACGGATAGCAAGATTGATATGGAGACAGGAAAGCTCTGTTTGGCACCAAACTCATAGGAGCAACCTCTTGCTACTTGGGAGCTGTCCTTGGTCCTGCTGACTCTATCTCTGTTCATTGACTCACAGAATAGTAGAGTTGGAAGGGGGCAGGAAGGCCATTGGTCCATGGCCCTGCTCAGTTCAGGACTCCAGCTTCAACCATCCCCCTCAGAAGGCCGTCCAGAAGCATCCTGAGTGCCCCCTGTGTGGGAGAGCCCACAACCTCCATGGGTCAGGGGTTCCACTGGCATACTGCTCTAACAGTCAGCTGCTGGCTTCCCGCAACTTGAGCCCGTTCTTCCGTGATCGTCTCTCTTGGCCCTCCTTTGTGACAACCTTTCAAAGAAAGGTTGAAAGAAAGAAAGCTATCCTATCCTCATTCTTCACACGGCAAAGCACGCCCAGTTCTTTCAGTCTCGTCTCACCAGGCTTTGTTTCCAATCCACTCATCATCCTTGTGCCCTCATCTGAATCCTTTTCCAGTTTGTCTGCATCTTTCTTGAACTGTTGCACCCAGCACTGGACACAGTACTCCAGATACATGTTTGGAAACTGAGCTTGCATTTTTGCCTGGCCTCGTCTAAAAGCACTCGCTGCCTGACAGATGGACTCTGCTCACCAGCAGCACTTGTGCTGTGCCTCCCAGTCACTGGCCAGATGAGTCACTTGACCCTGCCCCCCATGGGTTCTGGCCTCCAGACCTGCACTAATGTACATTTGCATCAATCACGCTGATTTTCATCCACGTGGGAGTCACTCTTTCCAAAGGAAGGCTATTCTTCTATGGACCTCTTGCTGTTCAGATTTGCTTGCCTTGTTTCTGCAGGGCTGTCATAGTCTAAAGTTTATGGATTTAAGGGCATCTGTAGATTATGAATCTGATGGCACATGTCATTTAACTGCTGTCAAATGCTCATTATCCATTCCTTGTGTGTGACATGAAAGGACCATTTCTCCCACCAAAATGACAGCGTTTCAAGCAAAGTGTATTTGTGACATTAAGATACCCAATCAATCCTTTCAATTTTGAAAAGAACAAGCCTGATGTAGAGAAATGTTAGTGCCCATTTTCTCGAGAGAGAATCCTCCAAGGATTAGGATTTCTCTTCCATTGCTGTGCTTTGAGTAAAGTGGTTAACCACGCCAGTTCAGATATGCAGCCAAAACCAGTCCCATCCCACCTTCTTTACTCTGTTGCATCTTGATTACTCAAACCCAGATAGTGCTTTCCATGCTTCACAGTAAACTAGAAGCACCTGTCCCTGAGATTCAGTTACTAAACTGCTGAATTGTCTCATTGGCCATAAATGCACAATCCCATATTGCGTAAATGCATGGTTTTCTCGGTACCTGAGTCTTGTTTTGTTTTGCCCAAGGAAAGCATAGCGGGAGCATGCCTTGTTGGACAGATGCATCAGGGTCCGTAGGGATGCCTTCTGCAGAGCCTGTAAAATAGACGGAAGAGGTTCATGGATCAGAGATTAAACTCCTGCGCCGTTCGCTGTGGGGGTGGCACTGTCAAGCTGCTCCAGAAGTGCACTCAGAAATGGGGGCCAGAAATACAGCTCTGTGTGGTGACGGTCAGTTTTTGGCTCAGCTTACCAGCCAGAGCCCTGAGTCTGGATCTGGAAGCCCTGTTTACAGAGTTGAACAGTCACAAGGAAGCCCGGTTTGGCAGCCTAGAACACCAACTGTAAGATAGAAATGATAACCACTCACTCCCACCCCCCGGAGGTGGTGCAGTTGTGAGAATCCCCACTAGGAATCACCCCTGGGTTACATTACTGTCGTGAGCCAGGGTCCCTCCTTCACACATTCAAAAGCCATATGCTGTTTTCCTTGCAAGGAGTTCTTTATTGGCCAAAAAGCACAAAAGAGCCAGAGTGGATCTCTGAGCAGTCACAGAGTGGTTTCTTGAGCCCAATCAAGTAATCACCTCCAGGAACTCCTTATGAGCATGCATTGGCCCCGTCCCTTTGGGAGGGGGCTTCTGAAAGTGAGCACAGCTCCTCCCCATGTGCCAATCCTCTATTTGGACCACCCTCCTCTGCTGGCAGTGCGTAATGGGGTCAGGAACCACAGCTGCCTCCTCTGTGTTTGAGAAACTCCCCTGTTCTAAGTCCCTTCCCACCAGCTGTACATCTTTGTTCTTCCCATGGACTGCTTGTCCACCTGGGGAGTCTGGTTTTGAGATAATTTATTAATTAGATTAATGTCCTGCCCAATTAGCCAAAATGGCTAACTTTGAAGCACCTCTGCTTCTCTCATCTCAGCGTCTCTGCTTGGCTCACATTCCCAGCACCCCTTCCCCGATTTTGCTCTGCATCCTGATTCTGACTCTTCCGAAGTCCAGCCAGCAGTCCTTGAGAATGAGCACCCAAAGCAGCCGTCCTTCTCATTCCCGACGATTTTGTAGGATAAGAGCTGGGAATCCACTTTCACCCTGAAGGCCAAATTTCGCTTTTGGAGGAAGTCCCAAGGCCCACGTTCTCAATTTTGTGATTGCGGTTCATTTTGCATGAACGGAAGGGCTGTGCAAAACAAGCAGCCATGGCAGAAAAAATCCCCAATCTTTCCAAATTTTCCCCATGGATCATAGTGTGGGTGATTTAGCAGTTGTCCGTTTTGAGAAAGTCATGCATTTTCCTGGGACTCATTTCACAAATGGGTTGGAATTTGCCAACAGTTTTGGAGCAAATGCACTCCAGCACACAGTTGCATTTGGGATTACAAATGGGCATTTTGTAGACCTGTAGACCGAAACAAAATTCTCCTGCATCCCTAGAGGTAGCTATCACTAGCAGCCGGGAAACTCCAATTTCAGTGTTTTTCCCATTTATTTATTTATTTGGAATTTTTGTATGCCGTCCCATTCGCATAAGCCTCAGGACGGCTTCCAACATATAAATAAATATCTATACAAATACATATAAAAACTGGAAACATCCTGGCATAATAATTTAAAACCAATAAATAAAATTAGCAATTAAAATATTGTTTAAATAAAAAGGTCTTGGCCTGGCGCCGAAAAACAAATAACGACGGCGTCAGGCAGACCTCTCTGGGTAGCGCATTCCATAAATTGGGCACCACCACAGAGAAAGCCCTCCTCCGGGTACTTTGCTTCTTGATATCTCTCACAGAAGGCTCCCGGAGGAGGGCCTCTGCTGCTGATCTCAAGGGGCAGGAGGGCAAATATGGCCACAGGCGCTCCTTTAGATAACCAGGTCCCAAGTTGTTGAGGGCTTTATAGGTGATAACCAGCACCTTGCATTGGGCCCGGACTTCGATGGGGAGCCAGTGAAGCTGACAGAGGAGTGGGGTTTTATGAGAACAACACCCAGTCCCCGTCAGCAACCTGGAAGCTCTATTTTGCACCATCTGAAGTATCCGGACTGTCTTCAAGGGCAGCCCCACGTAGAGCATGTTACAGAAGTCCAACTGGGAAGTAACCAATGCATGTGGCACTGTCGCCAGGCAATCATTCTCCAGGTAGGGACGCAGCTGAAGGAAAGCTGAAGGAAAGCGCTCCTTGCCACCGCAGTCACCTGACCTTCCAATGATACCTTTGGGTCGAGGAGCACTCCCAAGCTGCGGGCCCTGTCCCTAAGAGGGAGTGCAACCCCATTCAGGACAAGGTCCAGGTCCCCTACCCTGAAGCCTGAACCACCTACCAACAGGACCTTGGCAGTTTTCTATAAGTTGTTGGACAGCTCCCTCACAGATTCCACATTCCTGAGATTTCTGCTGTCTGGTGATTCTGGTTTCCGGGCACTGTTGGACAATTCCTATGACAGAACCCCAAATTCTGGCTTAGCACCAGAGCAGGAAAGCAGGAACCCCAATGCCCCCTCTAAAAAAGCCCAAATCCACTATGCCCTGTGGCAATGCCGGATGAGTAGAATAAGTCATAAAACGACTCTGACTTCATTGTGCCTTGACATTGCTGGGACTGAATGGGGTTAAAATGTACTTAGGCTTTGGGAGTGGACATTGCAAAGAAAGTGCAATCCATCTGAGCTGAGAGAAGCACTGACCTCTCTTAAAAGGCAGACTGACGGTTGTTTCTGGTTGCAGCAACTTCCAACCGTGGATAAGTAGCTGTTTGTGTAAGCCAGCAGCAATGGCAATGGGGTACAGCTATGGTCCGAAGAAAACTGGTACAGAAACCTAGAAAATGAAGCACAAAAGAGGACTTAAAATGAGATTGGTAAGGTCGTCATAACATGAGCATCACTGCTCAGGATGGAGCGCACTATAAATAGATGATTTATGAGAACTTGGACAGTATCTCTAGTGGAAAAATGAATACAGCAGAACTAGTTGATCAGAAGGATATTCAAACAGATCTCATTCTTGGAAACGGGCTTGTTGCCTGCATGAATGCAGCGTCTATAGGGCAATATCCTCCAAGGGAGCAGTCCTATTTTTAGAAGGATATAATAACTAGAAAAGCAAATAATTGAAAAGCAATTATTTTGTGGCTGTAACAGAGCTTCACAAAGGGCTTACAAGACTGTTGCCCAGGGCAATGATCCTAAATTAGGTATAGAACATGAGATGAATTGTGGAATTTCATGCATTTCATTAAAAGGGTAGATTAACCCCTTTACTTATCAGTGTTGGCCCTATAGTGTTAAAAAGAGCACAGTTTGAAGCTGCTAAGGAGAGACATCTTGTTCAGACATTTTTCTTTAAAAAGTCGGTGGACAAAATGAAGTCCTCATTGGGTGTGTGAGCCTTACAGGCCATATGTTACCCAGTCCAGCTCTAGAGAGAGGGAGAGGAAGCTAACTTTAGCCAATTCCATCTTCCCTCCCCAGCCCTGTCTGCCCCTGAAAAACTGTCCCAGAGATCCATGGACTCCTTGGTTGGAGCAGAACCACACAGGAAAAGGGGAATCATCTCCTCCCATTAAAACTTCTGTAGAATTCCACTCCTTTTCTTGAACAAAAGAAAGCCTTCTAGTCATGGAACCAACTTTCCGGATTCTACTTTCCACTAAACAGTTTCAGGCAGAGATCTGTTCTGCCTCTGCATCCTTTGACTGGGGCCTGGGATTTTATACATGTAGCAAAACAAGCTGTATCACAGACCTTTCCAACCTGGTGCCCTCCAGGTCTGCTGGACTACTACTCCCATCATTCTCAGAGAGCATCTCCCCCAACATCATGCACTGGAGATGTGTGAGGTTACCCCTTTCACCATGAAGGGTGATGGAATTTGTAGTCCAAAACATTTGGAGGACACCAAGTTGGAGATGGTTGTGCGATCATATAGCAGATAACAGGGGTGAGGAACATGTGCCCTTGAAGATGCTGCTGGATGCCAATGCCCATCTGCTCCAGCCATTATGGCCAATGGTTAAGGGTGGTGGGAGCTGCTGAAGTCATGCAGTACCTGGAGGGGCTCATGTTCTACATCCCAGCTCTTCTCATGTGCCTTCTAGAAGGAAGGGACAAGATGCAACTGGACAGCCATCTGAGAGGGATGGCTTAACCTGGAGTCCTGCACTGAGCAGGGGGTTTGGACTTGATGGCCCTTTGCCCTCTTCCAGCTCTACTATTCTGTGATTCCATGGGGGTGTCTCATCACTACAAAAGGTTAGAGAGGCTGAAGAACCAGGAGGGTTTCCCCCTCCACCTCATTAACCTGCATTATTTTCAGGCTTAAAATTCCAGGTGGTAGTAGTGGAGAGAGTCAGCACTGAAATGGAAGACAAAGAGAGAAACATTGATCCTCCGTGTTTTGAAGGACCAATGGCTAGCCTCATGTTTCTTCTCAGTGAACTATACAATATTTGTACTTTGAGTGATCCACCAGGTGGCTGTAGCTGAGTGGGCAGAGTACATGCTTGGGATGCAGAAGGTTCTGGGCAGATTTAATTCTATGCATCTCACCTTAAGAGGATCTCAGTTCTTAGGTGACCAGAAAGACCCCTGCTAATTTATTTGGCCAGGGCGGCTTATTTTATACTGTATTGTTGTATTTTAATTTAATATTTATATTTTTAATTTATATTATAATTATTTTAACTTGATGATGTGAGCTGCCCCGAGGCTTTGGTGAATGGGGCGGCATAAAAATGTTTTAATAAATAATAAATAAATAAATAAAATAATCTGAGCAGAGGCCCTTTGGCTACATGGACCACTGGACTCAGCTACATATTCCTGAGCTTAACTTCATAAGGAGGGTTCTGGTCAGTAACCAGAAGGTGAAGAAAGATTTGGGGCTTCTGTCCAGCATCATCTCACCTCTGCTTCCATCTTTTTCCATCCCACAGAACAATCCATGAAGAAGGAAAGAGCTGCACAATGCCCTTTGGTTCAGCAGCACTGAGGAACCGTCTGCTTGGAAGTACCCACAATTTGTGGGTCACATCAGAGATGTAGACAGGTTCCCCCACTCCAGTATATTATGAACCCAGGCCATCCAGCAAGGCAGGGAGAGTCAGGGCAGAGAACAGGAAGGACTTTTTCACATGGTACAGAGTCAGACAATGGAATCCACTATTTTAAGATGAAATGCTGTCTACTAACTTGGATGGTCTTGAAAGAGTATTCAGTGGAATCATGAAGGACAAGGCTATCAATGGCTATTAGTCATACTTAGCTATATATTAGCTCTGATACCAAGGACTGTATGTCTTGGTATGTGAGCTGCTTGGGAAAAGGAAAGGGAGGTTGTTGATGTACTCCTGTCCTGCTGGTGGTTTTCCCACCACTGTGGGAATAGAATGATGGAGTAGACTAAGACCACAAATAGATAAATGAATAGGAATTCCCCTGACCCTCCTAAAGGCCCCTCGTTTGTGGGTCTAGTGTTTGGTACACCTAGAGAACTTATTCACTATGGCTTCATGAAGAGGAACTAAAGAGCCTCTTGATGCGGGTGAAGGAGGAGAGCGCAAAAGTTGGTGTGAAACTCAACATTAAGAAAACTAAGGTCATGGCATCCGGTTCTCTCACTTCCTGGCAAATAGATGGGGAAGAAATGGAGGTAGTGACAGATTTTATTTTCCTGGGCTCCAAGATAACCGCAGGCGGGGCCTACAGCCAAGAAATTAAAAGACGGTTGCTCCTGGGGAGGAAAGCTATGGCAAATCTAGACAGCATACTAAAAAGCAGAGACATCACCCTGCCAACAAAACTGCGTATAGTCAAGGCTATGGTTTTCCCAGTTGCAATGCATGGCTGTGAAAGTTGGACCATGAGGAAGGCTGAGTGCCGAAGAATTGAGGCCTTTGAATTGTGGTGTTGGAGGAGACTCCTGTGAGTCCCTTGGACCACAAGGCGATCAAACTGGTCAGTCCTAGAGGAGATCAACCCTGACTGCTCTTTAGAAGGCCAGAGACTGAAGATGAAACTCAAATACTTTGGCCACCTAATAAGAAGGAAGGACTCTCTGGAGAAGAGCCTAATGCTGGGAACAATAGATGGCAAAAGAAGAAGGGGA